GCATTTAGAAGGGCAGAACAATTTATAATCATTGATAACAAGTACAGGGTAAAGGTTTGGTATTATTAAAGAATGCCAAGACTGAAATGATGTGCAGATGGCAGTCCCAGGTCAGATGCTGAACTAAAACTATGTCAGCTAGCAAAAAAAAATGTATATGAAGCAAAACTGCAAATCATAGTGAATTGGGTCTTTCCAGGAAAAAAATAATGCCAGAGTGTTCTTCATTTTTTGCCCATGCACATCCATTGAGCCAAAGCCAGTTATGAATTTTGCCTGACTTGTCACTGGTTTTCAGGTAATAACTACACCCTTCCAGGCTCCAGAAGGCATGGGCCAATATACCAAATTCATATCCTGCTGTATCTTACTGTATCCATAAGGAATATTGCTCTATCTGAGTGACTTACCTCTTACACCTCAAATATCTTAATAGTTCAATGCCCCTCTCTCTAGGGAATTCTACCTCCTTTCATTTCCATTCCTCTGGCTTAAAAATCACCCTCGTTGCACTACCTCTGTGTTTTTCTTCCTTTACTCCCTTAATGTGCTCTTTTTCCTTATTCTTCTGATTGTTGCTCTGGCAACGGTGGCTGCTCCCTTCCCACCTTCTTTTTATCAGGATCACTTACCACTTCTCACCCGTCCCTTTCAGTGATGAAAAGCGGGGATGAGAAATGGTTTCCACCTTTGGACAGCAACCTTGTCAAACACTAAAGGATGTCTCAGGTGAAATATAAAACTGAGAAACAAAATCTTCAAAGGGATCTGGAGGGAGACCTGGCTAGAGATACAAACAGAACCCTATCACAGCTCTCCTTTCTAGAGTCTTCTCTCTGTTCTTTCCCTCTTCTTCTTCTTCTTAGAATTTGTGTGTAGACCATGCTATGCAGAAAAGTAGGGAAGGGAACAAAACCAGAAATAGGTGAGCATGTCCTTAGGAAGAAAGGAAAGAAAAGAACATAAAACATATTGTAAGAACAGACACTTGTTACAGCATTTGAAATTTGCCCAGGAAACTTCAAATGGCATCATTGATTTTGTGATTCTGTTTTTCTTTTATTTTTATAGGCAGAAGTTCATAGCTTGCTTGTGCTCACTTTCTTGACTCTCATTTCCAAACACAGACTCATACAACACACAAATACACACCCACATACCCTGCAGGATGTATTTCAGTTCTTGCTTTTCTTTAAATTCCGTGTGTTTGTGTTGATAGCTAATGTGTTTACAGCCACTTGCTTACACATAAATATTCAAATTTAGTTAAGGGAATGTCAGTGCCATTCCAAACACATCTTTCCTTTAGCAAAACATTGATGTACTGAGATGTTACAAGTCTCATCTCAGAATAGTGAAAAAAAAATGTATCTGTTACCTGATGTCCTTAAAATTCTACATTTATAAATGAAATACTCAAATTTAGCAAGTTCCCTCAATTGTATTTCTTGCATCTCAAACAAAGGGAAAGAAAGACAGATATCTTAATGATTATTAGGGTAATAGTATTGTTTTACAAATCTTTTTAATGCAAATAAAAGAGAAGTTTTCATGTCCTGGGGAGTTTTCAAGAATAGTGCTCTGTTTGGGGAGCAAATATTAGTAGGTTAATAAATTTGCATGGTGTTTCCTAAAAGTTAAGAGCAGAAGCTTATAGGTGAATAAGTAGCTGCGGGAGTGGAGCAGCAGAAAGAGAAGAGGAGAAACAGGAAGACAGTGGGAAGAAAAGAGGGAAAGAGAGGAAGGAGAAAAGAAAGGGAAAGAGAGAAAGAAGCACCATGGAAATGAATTTAATTCCAAATGAATGCTTTCTTAGGAATGCCTGGTTGACCTTGGAATCTCAATAAATGAACATTTTGGAGTCAAACTACAGATTTCCCCAAAATGTGTTCCTCTGAGGCATAGTACTCAGAAGGCAGCACCTGGCAGACTTTAATTGGGGTTACCCTGGCTGACTTTTCTCCACATTAGGGAACCCCAAAGAGAGCATTTTTCTCTTGCCATGAGCTCTAGGCACTTCTTTCTGACTTATAAAGAAATATTAAAGGAACTAATATGTACAACTTGAGTAAACTGTGACTAAGAGGGCATACGCTAATTATGCACAGGAGTTTGAAAGGTGCAGACACCGGGGAGGATGAGAAGTTCTTTAGGCTGGTAGCTGAATATTGCCAGGAGACACCCAAGCACTTTAAGCAAAGGGAGATTTAAACTAAACACTAGATCCCAGAATAAATATAACATTCCGCTACATGAGCAAGCTGGTGGAAACTGGTTGAGATGTTTAAAATACCAAAATATTGAAATTTGCATTTCAAGTCAATATTTAAACAAGGTCAGGAAATAATAGAAATCAGAAAGGACCTGAGTTGTAGTCAGAGGGCAAGTCATCAGAGAACTTCCACAACAGGCTGTGTGTTTCTGGCCTGAAATTTTTAAGTTTAGAGAGTCCAGGAAATGGTGGCCAGATCCTAGTCAAAGTGACTTGAAAGAACTGGAGAATAGGTACAACTATGGGCTCAGGCACACTGGGGCAAAGGGGAAAAAGCAGAAGAATCTGAGTGCATTTTAGAATTTTCTGTCTCAAAATTAATGTCATCTATTCCAGGCCTTAAAATAAGAACTGCCATTGCTGAGAGGAAAAGGATGGCATCTTATCAGGCCTGTGTCCACAGGGGCCTCTGCTGATTTCTGAACTGATAACTACACACCACAGTCACAACCTCAGGACATGGCCAGTGAGCCTCTGTCCCTAACACCAGAGTGCTCCTACATACCCTTTCTAGCCCCCAACAAAGTGGTGCTCTATTAGAATCATTTAAAGGGAATGGGTTTTTATGACAACATCTCTCCCAGAAATGCTGACCATCTTTGGTTATCTAGCTCCATTCTCTTAAGCTGTATGAAGTGTTGGATCTGACTCCTATCTGCTATGTATCTTAATTCAAGTCATCTGTGTATTACTTCATCAAGGTTGCCATACCAAAATTACTATATACCTACAAATAAGGTTTATGGATATGGAGGAGGGCAAGGAAGAAATCCTAAAATACTCTGAATCATCTTTACATCTTCTCATTATAATCTAGTATTACTCTCAAAATCAGTAGTGCTACTTTACTATCTATTCCACTTCTGCACTTCAGGTTTCTAATTAGCTTACACCTATTTCAGCCTGTTAAATAAAAAGTTATTGTCAACATTGCCATTAGTCTTCAGGGTACTGATGTTCAGCTAGAAGACCCGTGGCATCGAACAAATAGCATGACCCAGTCCATAAATGTATGTAAACACACAAGATTTTTTTTTCCCTCCGAGCCCAAATCCTGCCCAGTTAATTTAATAAAGGGGCTTATTACTCCAAGATTTCTGTTTTCTTTCCAACTGTATTTCACTCCTATAACATAAAATTAGATCTGACTTCTTGTTTGATAATGGGAAAATAAAAAGAAAAGAACACAGACAGGAAAAATAACTAAGCCTTTTATAAATAATATCCAACTCTATACCATAGGTCAATTCTAAAACATTTTCAATAGAAGAATGTGCTAGAGAATGTGCAGAATTTCAGAACCAAATAATTGTATATAACTATTGCCTGTTAGTTGTTGGAATTGCCAAGTTTCCTCGAAACTAGTGATACTGACATTGACAGAGACTTAATGCTTAGAGTATTCCTGACAGTTGAGTTATAGAATGTTATCAAAGGGGTCCTATGTTCTGTTGGGAGTCTAGTTAACAAGCTTAGCTGACATATTTAGACAGTGAATTCATGTCCATGCTGGCTGACTGTTATGTTGATTTGGCCATCAGGGAATTTCTAGAAAAGGAAAACAGCTTGTGACATTTCAGCAGAGCTATTAATTGGTAACATTTAATGTAGGATGACCAGAAGCAAGATTCCATCATGGTGGCGGACTGTATTCTTGAACACCCTCTCCAGTTGCTCTATCCTAACCCAATAAGCAGTGGAGTCTTGAAATTCGGAGGTGAAGGGATTTCAATTCAACTGAAGTCCACAGGTCTTTTTAGCCAAGCTCTGGCTGAGCTCTTCCTGCTGTGCAATCTCTCTTTTCTCCACCTTCTCTTTCTCTTTTTTCATTCTCTCTCCTTCTACTTCCTCATCCCTCTTTCTCTCAATCTACTCAGAAATTTTATTCATGATCCATGTGAGAAAAATTTAAACAAACTTTCTTGTCTTGAAATGTCTTTACTAAAATGGACATAGCCAATTTTGTAGATCTTTTTAGAGCTGCTATGTCCCCAACCCCAGGTGCCACAATCTGTCGTAAAACGTATCACCAGCAGCACATTCTCATGGATCTAACTCATGGCCTGAAAGTCTCAATGATGATATTGCTTTATACAAAACAAGGAACCCATAACAGCAAGACAGGGTTTAGCACTTGATCCTTGTGAAAAAAATTCCACTTAATGTGGCATAGTGGTGATTTCACAAAAGGAAGCCACTTCTCCTTTTAATAGCTACTTTGAAGTTTAAAAGTATAATTGATGATGTCAGTGCTTCACCCACACCCTTCAGAGTACTTGACAATTTGTATGGACCTCCCCGTAACTACTACTTTATACCAAACCCTGAAATAATGACTGGTGCATATGAATATATAAACACTCCAGCTTTGTACCTCATGATCAGGATGACTTTAAGTGGGACATGTGTTGTCCCCAGAGCTTCCTGAAAGATCGACTCAAGGTTGCTTTTGGGGGGACTCAGCTTGGTATCACACTCTTGTTTGGTTTCCTTCTCTTCCAGATTCCCCTTTTCCACTCCTTTATCAGCATGTTATAACAACAGTTCCCATTTAATCACTTTTACAAGATTTTCGTCTTAGGGTTTGTGTCTGTCAAATATGACCTCAGAGAAAGCATATTGTCAAAGTATTGAAAAGTCATGTCAGTTTATTGCTTTTAAAAAGAAAAATGAGGCAGTCTGCTGTGATTTCAACTTTTTAAAAAATCATGCAAACTTTTTTTTTCAGGAAGAGAATTTGAAGGAGAAGAAGAATATCTGGAGATTCTTGGCATCACTAGGGAGCAGTCAGGCAAATACGAGTGCAAAGCTGCCAATGAGGTCTCCTCAGCGGATGTCAAACAAGTCAAGGTCACTGTGAACTGTGAGTATGGTGGCCACAGCAGCAGGTGCTACATGCCCAGGGCATGCACCTCCACCTCCAGCAAACTCGAAAGATTCCATTAGCAAAAGAGCGTCACAGTTCAAGCGGATGCTCTTTTGGTCAGGGATACACATTTATACATCAGACACATCCAAGGGCAGGATTTGGCCTTTGAATTTGATAAATCAACTCTACCAATTCTAAATATAACCCATAATACATTTAACAACAGCCTTTGTCTTTTACTCGGGCTACAGAATTAAGAAAACATGATCAGACAACACTAGCATTTTTGGCACTCATTATTCTGGCCTTTGTGGACACCAAGTTCATGTTACTTTGGAAAAACCAACCATTTGTGTCTGCTTTAGCTAGAATTTCTATATTAATGCATTGTTTGTCAAAAGGTAATAGGCCAAGATTATATTTTATCCTCTGCTATTTAACTAATTGACCTTCTTGAAAACAAATTCAAGCCACTGTGGTCAGATGCCGTGTGTTCCTGATGGCTATCAGGAATGCCTGATAAGTTAATTTCAGTTATCTATTTGTCCCAAAGTACAGGCATTAGAAAAGAAGATTTCACTAAGATGCATAGGTAAGTGAGCATACTTTGAACTTCTTAGATGAAAGAATCCTTAGATGTAGTTCAAAAGGGGGAGGGAGAGAGGGAGTATCTATAAGATGTGTGTCACCAGCAAAGGAATAAAGAGAATTTGTTTACCTTATTCAGTTAGGAGTATCTTTCTGTATCATTCAAATTTACATTTCTACATCACACAATTGTGGTTAGTGACAGGGATGAAGAGATATCCTGACAGATCTTCCCTTCTAGGAATTTCACATATATACATACCCCCACCCATATAGCCTACCTACACACATATGCACACATATTCACACATAACACACAAAGGCACATGTACACACAGGCGCAAGCATCTAAACCCACCTTTGAAAGTGTGCTTTAGACTATGTTGAGTTGCATTCTGTCATCTCACGTCCTCCATAACTATCACCGCTGTGCCATCATCTGTGTAAATTCTATGCATTCTTCCCAAAAAAACCTGGCAAGATAGGTATACTTGACTCCGCTTTAAAATGTGAGAAACTGAAGCCTAAGGAGTTGAAATGCAACATGGAAAAAGAACATGGAAAGCAAATATAAGAATAGGGAATGAGCCTCAGGTCCATTTAATAAAAAAACCATGCTCTCAAGAAGAAGAGAGAAGGGGGAAGAATTATCAATTCTTTTTACCTACTGTGAACATCTTAGAATTAAAGGATTTACTTTTTATTTAAACTTCATAATAAACCTATGAGATAAAAATTATTAGTCTTAATTCGGAAATTAGGAAATGCTTGTGGAAAAAAAAAACAATAAAATAAAAGGTGACTCACCATACACACACACAAAAAAAAAAAAAAAAATTAGGAAACTGAGGCTAGAGAGCTGATGAGCCCTGTATGAGATGACTTGGTAAGTTAGTCAGCCTTCTGTCACTGAGACCAAAATGCCTGATAAGCACAACTCAGGATGAAAAATTTATTTTGGGCTCATGATTTCAGATGTCCATGGTCAGCTGACTCCTTTGCTCTGGGCAGAACATCATGGCAAAAGGGCATGGTGGAGGAAAGCTACTCAGTTCACAGCAGCCAGGTAGGAGAGAGAGCGATAAGAGACAAATAGTCCAAGGCCACACTTCCAGTAATCTACTCCAGTGACCTACCTACTCTAACCACACCTACACCTACAGTTATCATCCATTAGCCTATTTAACTATCAAAGGATTGACCCAGCAAATGGATAAAGCCAGTGATCAGGTCACAGCCCTAGTGGTTACCCAAAATCTCCATCTCTGAGCCTTACTACACTGGGGGATCATATATTCAAAATGTAAGTTTTTAGGAGACATTCCAGATCCAACCATAACACCAAGCCTACACTTGGGGTGTTCTAATACCCAGGGTCTTGCTCCAGCCTTTTAGCTTTCTAAAATAGTGAAATCTTTCTACCATAGATGGAAGAATCCAGTAGATACGGCTGTGCTATGCACATTTATGGTCTTCATTTCCAAGAGCAAGAGGCGGCATTTGATGAGCTATGATGTGCTTTTATTCCTAGCTGTCTCCAATTTTTTTAGTAATAGAGTTTTGAAATGCCAGTATTATTATTCTTTGCTAGTACTGGGTGTGTTTCAAAGACACATTAATGATCTCAATGTTATAAAATGCTTTAGGTCCTTTTTTCACATGAAAGGCAATTTCTCTGGGTGTTTATATAAGTTTATAATTAGGTTAGTTAGCTTCTTTTATGTACACATAACCATGCCATCATCTTCCACCTCTTTCCTGACTTTTGGAGTGAAGATTTCATTTTCTCTTAATTGACCTTCAACTTAATTAGATTTCTGAAAGTCCAATCACGGAGTAAATAGAAAATATTTATGCTTCCATTGTATGAAACATCAAAGTGGTCTGGATTGCAGATGGTTCCCAAGATCAAAGCTAGCCGTCTGGGCCCTATTATTATTGGAGCAATTAGTCTGACATTGCTCCTTCTTCACTGTCCCCAAAGTGTAATTTAGGACAGAAGAAAATACTGATAATTTTCAAGAAAAGACTTTTATGAAAATGTGAGCTTTTGCTAGTGACAAGTGAACCACAGAAGAATAAGGACAAAACCTGAAAATCCTAAAAGGACACATCATAACACATTATATGGAAAGCTATAATGAGTCTAATCAAACATCCAATATGCCCTAGCCAGCAAGACCCAGCACATACCTGATCTTATAAAAATTGCTCAGTAGATATTTACCAAAGATGTAGCAAAAACACACAATAAACGCTGCACCCTTAACACCTCTCCAGACTTCACAAATGATACTGATTATAATTCAGGAAGAATATTCTAATATCAATTTCCTTTGGAATCACCTTTTTACCAAATCTTCATAAACCACATCTACATTATATTGGAGCAAGGCATCGCACCGTTGTCCTGTTCCAACAGCTCATCTAAACATTATTGTCTTAAGTAGAGGAAGTCCCCAAGATTAAATTATGGAGGCAGACTGCCTGGTAAAACCCTTGCATATCCAGAGATGTATCCAGGATCACTACTGAGGCTTCAGTTAAGCTTCCTGATTCCTCTTCCTTTTCAAAACACAGACTTAGGCATAGAGTGAGGGGATCAGGACGGCTAAGATAACTACTGGCTAAAGAGATTATTAGAAAGAACAGACCCCCAAATACCACTTAGAATCCCACACTGGTAACTTTCTCCTGCCACCACTCCATTGATTCATTTGCTCAGTTGCCAACAGATGTTTGTTCCAGGGCACTGAGAGGCCAGCGCTGTAAACCAGAGAGACATAACAGTTCCGCCTGTTGAGCTCACAAGCTGGATCCTACAGTTTCTTCTTTTTACTTCTCTGTGATAACCCTTCTCTGTGGTAGGTCTACAGCATAGCACATAGCCATTTTACAGGCAAAATCTATTTTCTAAGTGGTAGGAGGTCTTGGAATTTATGGAAAGCTAAATTATTGGCTCAAAATCTCTTCAATTAAATAAGCTTAGTAAAATTTATGAAATAGACAGGACTCTTGGCTTTCTGTATCTTCCCCAGAGCATGACTGCTGATTTTTTCCAGTTACCTGCCCTAGGGAAGAGTCTGTCCTTTCATTGCAGATTCCAGGTATAATCCCTCAATTTCAGTTCCCACAGTGCATTAAAAATTTCTACTTATGAGTCTGTCTCACCCCAGTGCCCACTATCCCTCGGATAATATCTAGCACATAGCAAATGCTCAATAAATACAGGCTATTAGTTTTATTTTGGACTCTCCCTTTAATGGAACTTTTTCCTATTTCCAGAGAAATTCTTCCCAAAAGTTTCTTCCAGCTCTCAAGTCCATTCCCTCCCCCATTGGTCTGCTCATCTTTTCCCCTGTCTTCTGCCTTCTCATAACTCTCCACATAGGTCCACACTATCACTCTTCACAATTTCTTTTTTCTGTTCTTATCTCCCTTTTTACACAACTCTGCTTCATTCTGCTGTCCAGAGTTAACCAAGCCAATGAGCACAGATGGTGGGAGACATGAGATGTAGGAGCTTCTACAGCCCAAGCTTGTATTTGATAGCTGCTTATTTAGAGGAAGCAGAGTATTCACCGCTGAATACACAGCTAGGCCTGGAGATACCAGTTGTCTCCAGATAGTAGATAGATATTTTAACTGGACTCTTCAGGGCTTTGATTCCAAAATCACCTAATGAGGAAACTTTAGGAAAATAGTTGCTCACTATGGAACATGATAATGTGGAATAGTCACCTTTTCTAGGTAGTCATAACTATACCTGTCCAGTCTCCATGCTGACCTTTAGTTTATTCTTGCATTTTGGAAGGTGACAGAAAAGACACATCCTAAAATCTATTATGAGATCTTCAGAGGAAATATTCAGCAAAAAAAAATATTCATCCAGTGTGTTATAAATTTCCACCATAATTTTACTTCGTGGAGAAGAATCATGATTTTTCTGAGAACTTTCAGAGGACCAAGACAATCCTGAGATTCCACATACATTTACTATAATCATCACACTGACAGAAGCCAACCAAGTGAAGAGGTGTAATGGGCCTGGTCTGCCTCAGAGAGGAGGAATAGCAACTTTATTATAGACTTTTTAATACATTTAGTATTGCTGGTACATAGTAAGTAATTAAAAAATGACAACTTGAATCAGTCTTACTGTTAGTCTTACTGTTTCTAAATTTTCTGCAGACAGAGCCTTTATTATTGCCTGCACCCTCTGCTTCTACCACCTTCTTACACTACTGCACACTAACCTTGGAAGATAATCAATATCATTTCCATATAGTCAGGACAAAAACAAAGCTCAGGAAATGTAAGCATTCTCTGCCACACAATCAAAGAACTTGTGAGAGGCAGACCTGGGACTCTAACCCAGGTCTAACTCCCAAGCCCTCCCACCTTTCACTAAAATACCTGAGTAACAGTAGAAGAAAGAAAGAAAGA